TGTTCAAGATGGAGACATAGAAATTTGCAAAGTACATACGGATCTGAATGTCGCAGATCCGCTGACTAAACCTCTCTCGCGAGCAAAACATGATCAACACCAGAACTCTATGGGTGTTCGATTCATCACAATGTAACTAGATTGGTGACTCTAGTGCAAGTGGGAGACTGTTGGAAATATGCCCTAGAGGCAATAATAAAAGTATTATTATATTTCATTGTTCATGATAATTGTCTTTTATTCATGCTATAATTGTATTATCCGGAAATCGTAATACACGTGTGAATACATAGACCACAATATGTCCCTAGTGAGCCTCTAGTTGACTAGCTCGTTGTGATCAATAGATAGTCATGGTTTCCTGGCTATGGACATTGGATGTCGTTGATAACGGGATCACATCATTAGGAGAATGATGTGATGGACAAGACCCAATCCTAAGCATAGCACAAAGATCGTGTAGTTCGTTTGCTAGAGCTTTGCCAATGTCAAGTATCTCTTCCTTTGACCATGAGAGCGTGTAACTCCTGGATACCGTAGGAGTGCTTTGGGTGTATCAAACGTCACAACGTAACTGGGTGACTATAAAGGTGCACTACAGGTATCTCCGAAAGTATCTATTGTTTTATGCGGATCGAGATTGGGATTTGTCACTCCGTATGACGGAGAGGTATCTCTGGGCCCACTCGGTAATGCATCATCATAATGAGCTCAAGGTGACCAAGGTGTTGGCCACGGGATCATGCATTACGGTACGAGTAAAGTGACTTGCCGGTAACGAGACTGAACAAGGTATTGGGATACCGACGATCGAGTCTCGGGCAAGTAACGTACCGATTGACAAAGGGAATTGTATACAGGGTTTGATCGAATCCTCGACATCGTGGTTCAACCGATGAAATCATCGAGGAGCATGTGGGAGCCAACATGGGTATCCAGACCCCGCTGTTGGTTATTTCCCGAGAGTGGTCTCGGTCATGTCTGCATGTCTCCCGAGCCCGTAGGGTCTACACACTTAAGGTTCGGTGACGCTAGGGTTGTTAGGAAGACTAGTATGTGACTACCGAATGTTGTTCGGAGTCCCGGATGAGATCCCGGACGTCACGAGGAGTTTCAGAATGGTCCGGAGGTAAAGTTTTATATATGGGAAGTTGTTAAACGGGCACCGGAAAGTTTCGGGGTCATACCGGTATTGTACCGGGACCACCGAAAGGGTTCCGGGGGTCCATCGGGAGGGGCCACCCCTCCCGGGGGGCCACTTGGGCTGCGTGGGGATAGCAGCCAGCCCCTAGTGGGCTTGGCGCCCCCCCCCTTGGGCCCATGCGCCTAGGGTTGGGGGGGAACCCTAAAGGGGGCGCACCCCCTTGCTTGGGGGGCAAGCCCCCCACCCCTTGGCCGCCGCCTCCCCCCTAGGGTTTTCCCTAGAGGGCCGGCCCCCCTTGCCCTTTCCCCTATATATAGAGGGGTGAGGGGAGGGCTGCAACACACCACAAGCCAAGGCGCAGCCCCTCCCCTCCCCAACACCTCTCCTCCTCCGTACGTGCTTGGCGAAGCCCTGTCAGAATACTGCCGCATCAACTGCACCACGCCGTCGTGCTGCCGTTGGAGCTGCCTTCCTCAACCTCTCCTTCCTCCTTGCTGGATCAAGACGGAGGAGACGTCTCCCGTCCCGTACGTGTGTTGAACGCGGAGGTGCTGTCCGTTCAGCACTAGGACATCGGTGATCCGAATCACGTTCGAGTACGACTCCATCATCACCATCCCCTTGGCAAGCTTCCGCTCGTGATCTACAAGTGGTATGTAGATGCAAACTCTCTCCCTTGACTCGTTGCTTAGATGAACTCATAGATGGATCTTGGTGAAACCGTAGAATTTTTTTTAATGTTCTGCAACGTTCCCCAACACCTTGCGCCATCCACCCTTTTAGCATGCCTCATGACCCTTTATTCCCTCGCAAACCTAAGCACGTAGTCGCTGACACCTTTGATCTAGCCCTCATAAACCCTAGATCAAAACTAAGGATCAAGCTTATCAACGAATGGAATTGGTGTGAGAAGGAGGATGCGTCAAGATTGATCGGATAAGAAGAGCAAGACCCTTCAAGGTTCAGCACTGCAACTATACAAGTGACTATATATTTCCCTCTAAAAAACCTCCTAAGTAAACTTCGTGTGTTGAAGATTTACATGCTCTATATATTTACCTCTCATATATGTTCCATACATGCAAGCTAGATAGTAGGTTAGCCATGAAAAGAAGCGGGATACAACTAGCATTGATGTGTATGCTTTTTGCTCTATATTTAGTGTTAAAACTTTATAAAACCCATATAAACTTGTGGCGTGGATACAAAATATCTTATTTGAGTAAATCTAGTAGAATCCTCGGTTCCACAACTCGATTTTGTCGAAGGAAAATCAATCTGACTCCAAATCCCGACTCTGACTACCTTGTCGCGGACAAGCCCACATCCCACACAAACTGGAATTGTTGGGTCATTAAGAAAGACGCAAGGCCGGAACCGGCAACCACGGCAGGAACCAACCCCGTATGATGACAACGGGTACGGGCAGCAACCCAGGCCGGGCAACACCAGTCAAATATAGTTCCCTCCAAAAGTGAAGGACGTTAACATGATTTATGCCTCCCATGTCACCAAAAAGGAGCGGAAGTGTGTGCTCCGCAAGGTATACGTCGTGGAGCTCATAGAACCAAAGTATAATCCGTGGTCAGAAATTCCGATCACATTCAATCATCAAGATCACCCGATGAGTGCCCGCCATGGTAGAAACACGTCATTGGTCCTCGATCCAATGTTGATGGCTTCCACCTAACCAGGGTCCTCATGGACGGCGGTAGCAGCCTCAACCTGATATACGCCGACACATTAAAAAAGATGCAGCTCGACTCTGCCCAGTAAGACCAAATTCAAGGGAATCATCCCCAGCATGGAGGCCCGTGTACTGGCAGGGTCACGCTTGATTTAGTATTCGGCACCCTTGATAACTACCATATCGAGGACCCCAGCTTCGATGTAGTCCCTTTTAGGAGTGGCTACCATGCACTGCTCGAATGGACGACATTGACATCATTTCATGTCCCGCACTACGCGTATATGAAACTGAAGATGTCAGACCCTAAGGGCGTCATCACAATCTGCGGCAATGCAGAACGATCGCTCCAAACCAAGGAGCAGACCACCGCATTTGAGGTCGAAGCTCAAGCTGACGAGGAGTTATTTAGAACCAAGGTCAGGCTAGACGATTCTAACCCCACAAAGTGTCTTAGGACAACACCTGATAACTCTATCGGTAACCCTGACACACATTAGATACACTTTGAGGACCGGCCAATGGCTACCTCTGCTGGATCTGACCTAGACCCCAAATAGGAAGGCGTGCTCCACGACCTCCAACGTGAGAATGGGGATGCTTTTCCTCAGCACTAAACAAATGTGCCATAAACCCCATGGGAGTCGGCGAAGCACACCCCTAACATGGTACACGGCCCGAGGCCAGAAGAATGGGCATCATGATTTATGACAGACCTCGAAGCCTAGGCATTAGGCTTTGGGCAAAAAAAACCTCCAAGCTATCCCTGGTCGGTTTGATCCAAGATGTCCAAATTTCAGACAGGGTGTCAAACCCAGTCATGGTACAAAGCAGGTATAAACCCTGGTACCATTTCATTAAAATCGCAATCAGCACATGCCTAAAGGAATCACTTCCCTGTGACATATCGGACAAGTATTCAGTATAACGCTCAGGCACTATATCCTTGGCTTTCTGGACACATACTCTGTACATCACCAGTGCAACCTCATGGGGCCTAGTCGGGGCTTGGCCTCCCCCACCGTTTCCCATGATCGTCCTCACTTCCCTTCCATGCCCTTTGGGCTACGGAATGCATCGGATGCCTATCAATGGCAGATTAGGTCACCATATGTGGACCCCCTGCCCTGAATCCGTCGAATTTGACTCGATCGGTCCTCACGAACGGCGTACCTACCGGCGCAACGCCGGTGAACTGGCAAGGAGGTGTGGTTGTTCGTCGGTGGCATAGTCACGGAGTTCATGAGCGGGAGAGGTTAGTGTTCAATCCCTAACAACCGCCTTGTATAACCGCCCAAACTAGATGGGCCAACGAAAGGCTGCCGAAAGGCCGAGGAGGATGGAGATAAGTCCCATGAGGCACGTGGCATGCATGAAAAATGGTGAGTCCTTGGTGTGGAAGAGACCCCATGTTGCTCAAAGGATTGCAACAAGGGCCATGTTGCAAAACTGGGCTATGGTTTGGGTTGCTTCGGGTTGTCTGATGCGCGCGGAGAGATCAGCAGGGTGAACATAGGTGTTTCCGTTCAATTAGCGGGTACAGAAGCAAACCTTTACGTTTTCATGTCCAACATCCACGCCCGTTTTTACCAAGAACGAGAGCTTGGAATTTTCTACTGGTTGTACCATCACCGGCACCGTCAAGAGATACAATCAAGAGCGCAGCTGGCAAAAAGTTACAAATAACAGCAAAAATCTTGCAGCACCCCTAAAAACTGTAACTTTTGGCAGCAAACTGTCCGGTAAGATCCAGGGTTTATACCAGTGCTGTCAGTAACGAACTGTAACTTTGGCAGGAAATGACAAAGCACATTTAGTGATCTAAACACTCTTATATTAGTTTACAGAGGGAGTACTAGATTACTAGAGGCGTGTCCCTAAACAACTCAGCCGTCGCGCCATTGGACGCGCGTGCGGACAGGACACCAAGCCGCCCTTGCAATTTCGTTCCATGCGTCACCTTCGTCTTCCTCCTCCCCGTCCCTTTCTCCTCGACGAAACATGTCGCCATTAGATGCGACTTGTTAGTGCACCCACTACATATATAACAAAGCTGCAGTCACCAATCGAGCTGCATCATTTGGTAGGGAGAGCTTAGAAGGAGGAGAAGAGCATATACCTACCTTTGTCTGTCTGGGTCTGGGGTAGCCAACCAAGGAGGGAGGGAGGATGCAGCGGTATACCACTAGGGACATATGGGAGATGGAGGACCGCCAGAGCCCGCGCATGGGTTGCAGCGTCGTCCTCGGCGTTGACGGTGGCGCCAGCAACACCGTCTGCGTCTGCATCCCGGCCGCCATGCCCTTCGCCGACCCGCTCCCCGTCCTCGCCCGCGCTGTCGCCGGATGCTCCAACCAGAACTCCGTAGGAGGTACTCCTAGCACCACCATCCCCACCTGGCATCCAACGATCACATCAACGCTGGCCTGGCCTGGATTCCACCTGATAATTTTTTTTGGCTTGAAATTCTTCAGAGGACAAGGCGAGGGAGACGCTGGAGCGAGTGATGGCGCAGGCTCTCCACAAGGCTCGCCGGAGACGATCAAACGTGTGCGCGGTCTGCTTGGCCGTGGCCGGCGTCAACCACCCCATCGACCAGCACAGAATGCTGGACTGGCTCAGGTGCTTATCTGTTACTCCCTTCATTCCAAATTACTCGTCGTGGTTTTAGTTCATGAACTAAAACCACGACGAGTAATTTGTAACGGAGGGAGTACCTGCTGCCAAGAAATCCGCAGGGGAAACTGAAATTAACATCTGCCTGTTCCAGGGAGATTTTCCCCAGCCATGTGAAGCTGTTCGTGGAGAACGACGCAGTGGCGGCACTGGCCAGCGGCACCATGGGCAAGCTCCACGGTTGCGTGCTCATCGCAGGGACAGGGACAATAGCCTACGGTTTCACCAGTGACGGCAGGGAAGCTCGGGCAGCTGGTGCAGGGCCGGTCCTAGGTGACTGGGGAAGGTTGGACACACACCTCTAACTTCTTCTCTATCTTTTAACTCCATGGTAGCACTATATCTTTTAAGCGGAGGAAACTGGTTAAGAAGCAACTACTGAAGCTGATTTCTGGTTGTTGCGGCACTATATATTGCAGTGGCTATGGGATTTCAGCACAAGCATTGACAGCAGTTGTGAGGGCCTATGATGGCAGGGGTCCTGAAACAGTACTCACAAACAACATCCTTGACTTCCTTGGACTCGCATCGCCGGATGAACTGATAGGGTAAATATCCTTTTGAATCGACCAATTTGTTTGATTTTACTTCATGTGAAAACAAGTGCAAGTCTGTTTCAGTTACTTGGCTCTTAAAGAGTTCGGTTACCAATTGAAAAACCCTACTAAAATAGCCGTATGCTGACATTATGTTAGCTGAAGCAAAATGTTGACTAAGATTGGAGAGCACCAAATGAAAAACTGCAATAATATGCTACCATGAAAATTGCAACAACTGCTTACCTATTCACTTTTTTCATGGCAGTTGGACATATGAAGACCAATCTTGGGCACGCATCGCTGACATTCTCCCTGTTGTGGTACAATCTGCCGAAGCCGGCGATGAAGTAGCAAACAAGATCTTGCACAATTCAGTTGGTGAACTAGCTTCCAGTGTCAAGACTGTAGTGCAGAGACTTGCGCTGAGTGGGGAAGGTGAAATAGGGACTTCCTTCTGAATGACATGCATAACAGGCCTTGCCACAAACATATAGGCCACTTGCCATAAAAAATGGCAAATAGAAAATAAATTCCGTGTCCTCACAAAAAATTGAATGTCTTAATCCTCTGTATTTGCTTATCTCCGGAACAAAGATTTCAACATGTTTCTGACCTTCTAATTTTGCAGACGGAAAAGATCTATTCCCTCTTGTTATGGTCGGTAAAGTTCTTGAGGCAAACAAGAGGTGGGACATTGGAAAGGAAGTGATAAATTGTGTTACCAAGACTTATCCAGGGGCATATCCAATACATCCCGAGGTGAGCCAGACTATAAACACACCATGTATCTACCATAATGCCTTTTTGGAAATATTCTGCCGATTCCGCCATCTCTAATTAAATGATTGATGTGAAAAAACATGTCAGAGAAGATTTTAGTTGCATCAGGAATAAAGTTAAGCATTAGTTTAAAAAGTTGAAGAAATGGTGTTGAGCTCAGGAATGAATTTCTTCAGATCCTGAGACAAAGGTCCAAAATAATTCTCATAGAAAGCTTATGTTTGTTTCTACCTGCAGGTGGAACCAGCTGTTGGTGCAGCATTACTAGCATGGAATGCTATAGCAAGTGAATTGGATGGTGATCTTAGGGCTGCTGCTTAAAGTGCTCAGCACTTATTTCTCCTACCACATTCATGTAAATTATGTTTGTGTCACACTATCACCTAGTGTTTTGCATTTGTTGTAGCAAGTTATTTTGAATGTGTTGTAATGTCTTAAAGAAGGTTTATATCTCAAATATGTGAAAAGGGAAAGAAAGTATACTAGTTTAGCTGAAGGTTTTTTCGACAGAAAAGTTGCAAAAAAAAAAAAGAAATGTAGATGATTTTGTCCTCTGTTAGATCTTGCTCCGAATGACCTAAAGTTCAGTACGACACGTGCTGAAAGATACTCCCTTCGTCCCAAAATAAGTGTGGCTGACTTGATACAACTCTGGGTGGTTCACAAATACGACCAGTAAGCATAACATCACTTGACTCAGACTAAGACAAATGTTGCTCAAGCAAACATGACTGCAGTGACTAGTACGCACAAACAGAACATAACATTTATATCCCACGTAGAGTCGAAATGACTAACAAAAATGTTAATTAGAGGGCGCTACTTTCAACAGTCATCAGCCGCCAAGAATTCTTGCAACAAAATACTTTACCCGGATGCCCGAAAGAGAGACATATAGGTACTTCAAAGTGAACAAAATAAGCCAAATGGCAGGCACTTGCCTCAAATGCGGTCAATTATTGCTCAGGCAAACATCAAAACAATGACAGTCATATCAATCAACCACATACATTGCTCAGGTACATGTTAACTATGTAACTTCAACAACTTATTAATAAATAAAAAAGCACTTCTATCATGACTAACAACTAGACAACTTGGTACATTTCGAAATACAATCATTTGTTGAAACAATAGCTTCCTCCACAATCACCCAAGATGGTACATCAGTATATTACATATAGGATTATTATGGCCATTAGTAAAACTACTCCCTCCGTCCCATAATGTAAGACGTTTTTTGACACTACACTACATTATGGGACGGAGGGAGTAGAATTTTAATAAAAGGGGGAAAAAACTAAGGTACACCGCGTTTATGTATCGTGATGTTAGGGGGAAAAACTACAGGATAAACAATACATGTCATATAAGAACACCCTCATGTATATACAAATTGCCGGCAAAAATACTATCACCCTCTCATATTATATGAATTAAGCATGCCGTAAATGTCATTCAATATTCCCCCGCAAAAAGATGACATTCAATATTCACATATACATACACAATACAATATGTGAATATACCATCTGCAGAGTGGCAAACTATGAAACAACTGAACAAAGTATTCACATTTTGTTTAGCCATATGCGTATAGAAATCAGAAAGCTATGCGCAGTGCACCTAGCTTCTATTTATAACCCCTGGCTTTCAACATTCAGTCTGATAGACTCATACAACTTCATAATAGCCAATTTGGTCAGATACTTTTAGTAGGATATTGTTTACTCCATCATGACTTCAATAGCTTTCTAGCACCTCCTAAGCCTCTCCCAACAAAATTTAGAACCTACATATCTGTGAAATGCCAAAGGTAAATCAATTGTAAGCACCAATCAGCCTTCATACACATAATCAGTTGTGATGGAACATAAATGATGAGTTAATGACTAAAATTTAGAGCAGTGATTTATTAGGACTTGAGTCCACAGTGGCGGAGCCAGAAAAAATTGGTTAGGGGGGGCAACTGAGGCTAAAACAGGTTGGGGAGGGCCAACAATGAGCTTTTAGCAGCAAATGATCACTAAACATGTACTGTTCATAAGCAAATTAGCAGTAAATCACCACTGTGTAACCCTAAGGCACTGGTCATACATTGTCTATTC